GTTGGTGTGCAGGGTGGGCGTGGAGCCCAGGAGTTGCCTCATTATCGTGCTTGTGTCCGTGGGCGGACCAAGCATGCCAATGAGTGCGTGGGTTCTCCCAGAGGCTCCGCTGCCGCCGCCGTCGCCGACTGCTTTTCCCTCGGTCTTGCTTCCTCGGGCGCCCCGTTTGGGAGGTGCTGCCCCGAGGCCCCAGAGGGGGTCCGAGGGCAGCGCCCGCTGCGCCGCCTCGGCAGAGGCGGGGGCGCGTGGGTGCGGGGACCTGGCCCCCCGATCTTCCCGCGCGCCCCTGTCCAGCCCCCCCCCCCGCCTGATATATATATATATATATATATATATATATATATAGATTGGGTGCGCCGAATTCGGTAGGTTTCATTTGGCCCCTCACGAAGCGTCCGATAAAACGAGCTTGGGCGCAATGCTATGAAACAAAAGGAAGTGCGGCGGAAAGCGGCGGAAGTAAATGATGTGCCCGCAAGAGGTGAAAACGTTTCTGGGTTCAGGGTTTCCGAAATCCCAGATGCTGCCCAGAGATTACCACCATCACCAACATCCAGGATCACCTGCAGGCGCAGGCAAACCCGTTGTGGTTTGAAGCTGTTTTCTGACGGTCACCTGGCCGAGATGCAGTCTCTCCGGAGGCAGAAACAACGCGCAGGGCCACCGGCCGTCGCGAGGTTTGCTCGACGACGCCCGGGTCTCCCTCGCAAGTTGACCTCCCTCGCGGGGGCAGGCGGTTTGGCTGCCTCGTTACTCTCCGTTTCTGCTCTTCCTCCGCCTTCTCTTCCCTATCTTCCACCCTCCTGCCTCTTCTTCTCGCGCTGCCTGTGGAGGCCTTCGCTGGGTTGTCCGCTCCCTCCCTCCCCAGAAGCAACAGCAAAGATCTGAGGGGTGCGCGCCGCGAACTCCCCCCAGCAAGAGAGAGAGAGAGAGAGAGAGAGAAAGAGAGAAAGAGAGTAGGCGCTCGACTGCAGAGCTGATGCGCCCCAACGAGGATCTCCCGTATAATCTACGCACGCATGCGCATAGAGCGCTTTTCGGAGCACTTCACATATTCCCCGTGCCTCGACGAACAAGTCAATGTGGGGGTATATCAATGCTATCGTCGGTCGTCTACTCGAGCCCTCTCCCCACTGGCGTGGCCTGGGCCCCGCTGGCCGATGCGCTCTCCGTGGGCTTGGATGCAGGCCGCCCCCTTCGAGGCCTCAAGGGGCCCTTCCCCCACTGCGATGGTGGAGCAGTGGGGCTGAGATGCCATGGCCTGGTGCACGGAGGAGGAGGAGGAGGTGGAGGAGGAGGAGGAGGAGGAGGAGGAGGAGGAGGAGGAGGAGGAGGAGGAGGAGGAGGAGGAGGAGGAGGAGGAGGAGGAGGAGGAGGAGGAGGAGGAGGAGGAGAAGCCCCTTTGGCCTCTGGCGGGCGGGGCCTGATCGGCTCGGCCCGATCAGGGTCGATCGGCGCCGCCGCCCGATCGATCGCCGATTCAGGCCGCCCGCGGGGTCGGGCTCACGCGTGCCGCGCGGCCCGCGCCATCGCAGCAGGAGGCTTCCCCTGGTCCCCCGCGGCTGCAGCGGGGCTTGCGGCCGCGGCGCCGCGGCAGGAGAGGCGGCTCAGTCGCGCGGCGGGGGGCCGCCCGCCTTCCCGCCGCGCGGCCAGCGCGGTTCAGCGGGAGGAGGCCGCGCCCCCTCTTTCCGCTCCCGCACGCCTGGCGCGCTCGAGGACGGGCGCACGTCCCGCCAGGAATTGGCCTGGCACCGCAGGCTCAGGGAGCGGCGCTTCAACGCCCGCACCCTGCTGCGTGTGCTGTCCGCCAGCAGCCTGCTGGCGGAACACCGTCCCGCGCAGCACCAGCATTACGAGATGGCGTTCCCGAGAAGTTGGCAGTGCGGAGGTTGCGGGACTACGGTGTCCAACAGCAGCTGGGACTGCAAGTGCGGGCGCAAGTGGAGGCCCCAACAACAGCAACTGCCACAGCAGCGGCAGCAGCAGCAGCAGCAGCAGCAGCAGTCCTCGCAGGCAGTCCAGCAGCAGCAGCAGCAGCAGCAGCACAGATGTAAAAAGAAGTACACAAAAACGATAAGCTCGACAGGCCGCAGACGGACGTCCTGCAGGATTTTGCGGTGTTCACGATCGACGAGGCCAGGGCGACCAAGGAATGGCAGGAACCCCCACACGATGCTGCAGAGAGAAAGCCAGTCAAAACGATGATCATGGTTAAGATAAGGCAGCTCGTTGCGGGTGGCTCGGCCAACAAGGCAGCCAAGAAGGAGACGGCCATTGAATCGCAGGAGCTTGGCGCGCTCAGGACCGCGCCCCTCATTGTGAAGCCCAAGGGTGTGGCCCTTCCAGGGTTGGCCTGGCTACGAGCGGACATGTACACATAACTGGAGGCAAACGTCAAGCATACCAGCGCCGAGAGCTCGAGGTCAGGTTCGCCCGTGCATACGAACAGGAGCAGGACATCAAGTCCATGAGCGACACGGAGGGCTCCATCGGGGATGATGAGGACGATGATGGGGCCCCCACCAGCCAGGCTTCCACCGCCGGCGCTGCTGCCTCTCTCCCTGGTTGGGCAGAGAATGCCCCTTGGAGATACAGCGCTGCGGATGCAGCAGCGCCAGCGCCAGCAGCCAGGACGGAACAGCTTACCAGGGTCAAAGGCGAGAGAAGCTTGCCTTCACAGCCCAACGGGGCAATGGCAGCAGCAGACACAGTCCAGGAGAACAATAACGACTTCAACATGGAGGTCATGCAGGCCCTGCGGCAGTTGAACCAGGGGCTGGACGCCCAGCAGCATGAGTTCACGGCCCAACTGGCCGCAGCGAGTCAGCCAGCCCAGCAGCGCCAGCAGCAGCAGAAGCAGCAGCAACGACAGCAGATGGAGCATGCGGACCTTTTGCTGCAGCGCCACCAGCAACAGGGGAATATGACCCAATAGCTGCAAGAACAGCTCTGGCAACACAGGATACTTCAGCATGCGCAGGCACTTAGGCATGCGGGCCTGGAAGCACGAGCTGGGGCCTTTGCCAGAGCTGGGGCGCACCTGCAACAAGTATTGCGCCAACGAGATGAGACCAACAGGATGAAGCACGAGCAGCGCGAGGACTACGGCATGGCGCAGAAGGAGATAGACGAGCATGTCAAAAGTATGCCAGAACTCCAACGGCAGCGCAGGTTCTTGGTGGAGCGCTCGGGGGGGGGGGGGGGGGGGGGGGCTCGAACAACAGGTGCAGCAACGCGCGCGGCAAGCCCTCCGTGTCACGCGCGAGGTCCAGTCAGCAGAGAGCACCTGCGGAAGGCGGAGGCCACTCTGGCCGAAGCCACTCAGATGCAGCGCCAGGCGGAGGCCCCCCAGCTGCAGCGCCAGCAGGGGCAGCTCAGCAAGATGGGGCAGGAGGCCGCAGCAGCGCGCGCACACGTCCAGCAGCACCTGCAGAGGAGGATTGAGGAGTAGCAGCGGCGGGCAGCGGCACAAGAGAAGATTGCGTTGGAAGAAGCCCAGGCCCGACGCCGCTGCCTTGAGGGGGAGGAGTGCCGCATCAGAGCGTCTTGCGAAGCTCAGGCAGCGCACTTTGAGAGACAGACGCGCAACGCTGTCATCCTAGAAGAGACCGCAGCGGCTTCCTCCACGGGTGAAGTCAGGGCCGAGGCCGAGCGGGCCCGCCGCCTGCTGACAGCGGAGGAGGATGTTGCGAGAAGGAGATCAGTTGCACCTCCGTGAGAAGCTCTTGGGGGGCGCCGAACAAGTCCAGAAGGGCGCGCGCGCCGAGCTCCTCGAGCAGGGCGTGCAGCTCGAGAATGAGGTGCTCCAGCAGCAGGATCAGAGGGCGGAGATCTACCGCGACTACGAGGTTATCGCCGAAGCCGCAGCGAGAATCCACGCTGTTTGGACGGAGGGTCAGGGCGGTCACTGGCCCCTGATTGACGAGCCCACGTCCACGGGCACGCCGGGCCCTCCGCAACAGACTTGCCTCCGCATCGACCGGCAGCAGGTGCAGATGCGCTTCGGGGGGGCGGCGGCGGCCAGCGGGGCCAGCCAGTGCGAGATCTCGCCCGCAGTCCCCTTCCAGCCGCAGCAGCCCGCGGACGCGGCGGCCAGGGTCGAGGGCGTCGCGCAGCATTTGGGGCAGCAGCTCGAGGCCACGTCGCGGGCCGCGACCAGGCCCGTCTCAGTGAGATCGCGATTCCCGACCGAGAAGTTCCCCGGCGACGACGGGCTGCCGAGCCCAGGTGGAGGCAGCCAGGTGGCGATCGAGAGCGACGCGGACCTCTGCGACAGTCAGCTCCGCAACCGCCTGCTCAACATGACCCAGCCCATGCAGAACGCCAGGTTTTTTTTTCGTCGCGCGCCACCGGCGGGGCGCCCGCCAGAGGACGGCCGCGAGAGCACGACCTCAGCGGGCGCATCTTCAACGGGAGAGGCTCGCCCCCAGCGTCGCAAGCAGCAATTGCCCGAGGGCGGGGCCAGGAGGGGGCTCTTCCAGACCAGAGAGCAAGGCCTGGAGGACCTGCCCCGCGCCTGGGGGGCGCGCCGGGGCCTCGGCTAGGCCGAGTCGACCCGCGCGCCGCCGAGGCCGCCAGCCCCGAGGTAGAGGAGACGACGCAGACGCCAGAGTGTCGACCGCACTAGCGTCGGCGCCTCCCCTGCGCGGGCTGCCATGGCTAGCCCCCCGGGGGGCGCGCGCGGCAGCGAGGCGGCCAGACCTATCGCAGGAGGCGCGGGGGGGCGCCATCATCCAGCGGCATTGGCTGGCAGCGCCCCCGCAACAGCGCCACTCGGCGGCCCGCGCGCGGCAGAGTTGAGGCTCGCTCCGTCCGAGGGCCCTCGACTGCGTCAACGCCAGCTGCTGGGCAACGGCAGCAGCTGGATCGTAATTCAAGCGTCCCTGCACATGAGGCGCAGGCTCCGCCTGAATTTTTGGAGCCCCCGTCCGTGCTGGGGGCGCCTCGTCCGCGGCCACGCGGGGCGGCCAGCGGTGAGGGGGCGCGACCCCGGGCGCCAGGCGATCTACAGCACATGCCGCGTGGGCGCGACCGCAGACCGCCGCCCAGTGCCGATCTGTCGGATGGGAGCGGTGGCTCGACTTCAGCACTTTCAACCAATGCTACGACATGCAGCGCCACGCAGCCAGCCAAGAGGCTGAGCCACCTCGACCAGCGAGTCTCAGAGACACCAGTTGCTACCTGACCCACTCGCAGCTGCAGAACAGGTACGCCACGCACTCTCTCCCGCGAACTTCTCCAGTACATTGATGATTTAAAATGGCAGACGGATTTACTTGACTACGACGTGCATGAACACGCCAGGCTTGCGCTTCAGCATCTGGCACCGAGAAGGCGCATGACGCCCGACAAACACTTCCTCTTCGCGGACGCTAGCTTCCTGGAGGACACCCAACACTAGAGCTTGGGCTATTGCACGCGTAGGCTTGGACGACGACGGCTTCAGTTACATGGGGCGCCTGGTTGGAAAGTTCAGCAACTCCATCCCCGAGGACCTTGGCAAACCCACGTCCAGCACAATCGTCGAGCTTGCGGGTGTGCTTTGGGCCCTCGTAGCAGCCCTCTCTTTCTCGGATGGCAGGCCGCGTGCATTCATCGGCGACGGTGCTCCTGCCCCCGGCGCAGCCGACGGGCTCAATGTGATCAGGTCGCACCGCGGCCCCCCCCGCGTTACTGCTATTTTGGCCGACGAGACCAGACATGGGATCAGCGCCAGTTTCGAGCGCGTCAAGGGTCGTTCGGGCGGCCCCTGGAACGAGGCAGCCGACATGCTTTCTAAGATGGCCAGCGTGCAGACATCCAGGTGCCACCACTTCAACAACCTCTGCGGCTACCTGCACTGCGACGTGGGGTTGGAATGGGAGTGGGTTGCCAGCGCGAACGCGGAGACCGCCCTCTGCCTATCCCCGACGCGACGGGGCAAACTTTGACTTTGAAGTCACACAGCAGCACGCAGCACTCGCCCATGTACCGCAGCCCCCGTCCAGCAGAGCAGCCAAATTTGAATTGAAGATGGGCGCCTGCCAATTCAATGCGCAGTCCATGGTTGACGACCTGCTCAAGCCGACCGCAGGAAGGAAGTGCTCAGCTAAGGGTACCTTTGTCAGGAAGCAGCTGGGCGTCAGAGGGATGCACATCGCGGGTGTCCACGGGGCCATAGGATCAGCTCGAGCATGGAATGCGGGCGGCTACTGCACTGTCGCCAGCCAGGCGATCAAAGGCAACCTGGTTTGCGCATTATTGCTGGACACGAACGTTCCCTGCGTCACATGCAAGCACACGGAGTTCTGCTTCCAGCGCAAGCGCGTCAAAGTTCTTATTCAGCGCCCGCAGTTGCCCATTGCCAGAGTAGCGGCGCCCTTCTTTGACGAGGTTACAGCCGTCGCTCACGCCCGGCACTCACACAGAGACGCCTGCGCCAAAGAAAGAGTCGACTGGTGGCAAAGGTTCAACATGAAGCGCGAGCAACTCGAACCCACCATGGTCTTCGTCGGTGGTAACGGACGCCTGTGAAACGAGACCTCCGATTTCGTTGGCAGCGAGGGCTTCGCATGGCGGCAGGAGAGCGGGGCGCGCATCCATTGGCTTGCGCACCACAGACATCTGTTCGCGGCCAACACTCTACTTGGCCCAAAAGAGGACAAACAATACACCTGGAAGGCGCACAACGGAGCGCCGCGTAAAATAGACAACATCATGGTAAAGGAGCACATCTACAAGCGGATGACCATCATTGGTGTGGATCACACGTTCGACATCACAGGCAAGCGCAAGGACCACGCGCCAGTCGCCAGTCCTGGCCTACCTCAAAGGTCGCATCTCGGCTCAGGCCCCTGGTGCAAAGATGACGAAGAAGTTAGACCAAGCTAAGCTAGCCGATCCAAGCAGGAGGGCAGCACGTACACTTGCATTGGACCAGGTAGAAATACCACCGTGGAGCACGGACGTCAACCAGCACTACCATGACATGCAGATGGACGTACATGCATGCATTGTTGAGCACTTTGGGCAGGACAAGTTCACGCCGTGCAAGCACACCCTGGGCCGCAACTCCATGCGCCAGGTCAGGGTCAGGAGATATGTGCAGCGGGCTATCCGCAGATTCGGTGACGGCAACCAGCTTTCACTCCAGATATTGCGCCGCGAGCTTCCCGACGAGCAGCGCCTCTTCTCCGAACCTGGGGGCCCTTGGCATGTGGCACTTATGCAACTCTGTCTTGCCTGTGAGGCATTGAACCCCCGAAGATAGGCATGTGTGGGCAGGCGCTTCCTCGACGACGCTTTAGATTTATTCAAGGCATTTCTTGCAGCGGCCAGGAACGGTGCGATGGAAGACCTGGCCAACCAACTCATGCGCACCAAGAACGACAACCACCCTACTGAGCACTGGAAGATCGCGAAGCGCATCCTGGTATTAGGTGGCAGGCCGGGCACGTGGACGGCCATGCGCCCTGAGCGTGAGGACAGTGGGGACAACAGCATCAATGCTGAGCAGCAATGGTGCGAAGAACGCCTCACATATTTTGCTAGTGTGGAGCAGGCCAGGGCACGGCCGCCCGAGGACCCCATCAAGCGCTACAACAACACAGCCCAGTTGATCAACCCACCAGGATCTTTCCCAGCCCACCAACTTCAATCCAAACACAACCCTCAGTGCAGCTTCCAGAAGGCCAAGCTTAGGGGAGCCAGCGGGCCAGACGGCATCCCCAACGACGCCCTCGAAGCCCGCGCCAGATCCATGGCCAGGATCTGGCTTCCCGCGCTCCCGAAGGCGCACCTGCTGGGCCAAGAGCTGCTCCAGTTCAAGATTGGCACAGCCGTTGAGCTGCATGAGTCAGGATTTGCCCAGCCCGTCGCCAACCTCCGCAGCATCCTGATCAACAGCAACATCGCCAATCACCACCGCGCCTATCTGCGCAGGCTCGCAATAGACAGCCACCTCGACCTCATGAGGGCCACGCAGTACGGGGGCGCCCCGAGGAGGAGCACGGCCATGACGACCCACTCCATCAAGGCATTCTTGCTGGTCAGCAGGCAGACGGACATGTTCAGCATCGTGCCCATGACTGACCTTAAGGCGGCCTTCTCCACGGTGGTCAGACAGCACATAGTGCGTGGACCCTCCAGGGGACCTGGAGGACATCCACCGCGCGCAGCAAATTCCTGCATGGATAGGGCCAGCCTTCAAGTGCCTCCTGGAGAGGCCGAATGCTTTGCATGCGGAGGGGCTGGGCTGCTCCTTGCACTTCGCCATCGCTGAGGCACATCGCCACGCATTCGTTGTCGCGCAAGGTGCCCGCAATACAGCAGAGGGCAGACGCGGCATGGGGCCTGGCAACGGTGTGGCGGACCTGGTATACAACCTGGGATTCGCCAACCTACTCAAGGATCTGCACAGCGAGCTCTGCGAGCAGGGATACGCCCTGCAGATGCCACCTGGAGTCTGACATGTACTTGCTGAGAGGACGGTCACCCCGATATATGTCACAGGGGTTTCTGTCGTCGACGACGCTGCATAATTCTGCGTGGCAAACTCGGGCCTCGACGTCCAAGAACCGGTGCTGGGCGTAGCCGCCATTCTGGACGAGTGCATGCGGCTCTATGGTTTCACCCTCAGTTTTACAAGAACAAAGTTCATGGTCGGCGCTTGTGGCCCTCACTCCAAGAAGGCGAAAGCACGCGCCATGAAGACCAATCCCTGCACCACCCAGCACGAGGGCTCCCAGCAGCATATCCAGATAGTGGAGACCGCGGTCAACCTAGGCACCGTCATAGACACGAAAGGCAGCGAAGGACCCAACATGACGAGGAGGATGAAAGGTCATGCGGCAGCGGCAGGCCCGCTGAGAGCCACCGTCAACCGGACGAGCGGGCTCAAGCTGGAGGTCAGGACCACACTCGCCACGGCCCTCTGTGACAGCACCTTCACTTACAACGCCGAAATCTGGCGGCGGAGGCGGCGGCCGGATACTTGTCTGCCTACAGGCCGGCCGCCAGCATGGTCAACATCCAGGATGGCAAGGATAGGAAAGATGAGGAAGAATACCTAGCCGTCAACAAAACGACCTTTCTGATTCTATTGGGATGCAAAAGGTGACACCTGACTAGCCTCATGCATCACGGAGATCAGCAGTTGTTGCGACTTATTGACTTACTCTGGAACGTGAAGGCCTCCTGGAACCTACTCATAGTGGAAGACCCAGATTGGTTGCACGGCAACGTTACACGTGAAGACATACCGATGGATAAACGCAACACCTGCCACGACTGGGTCGACCCCTTGCGGGGCATGGGCGGACGCAAGGCATTCAACCTAATGGGGCAGATCTTTTACCGAGCGCGAGCGGCCCAGATAGAACACTTTCGGCATGTGCTCTGGCAGCGTCAATTGCGTCGAATGGCACGGGCTGGTGGTGGTCGGATACCGCCCTTTGGTACTGCGGCGGCGGGAGAGCACGACGAGGCTTTTAGTTGCTATGCGCGCGGCAAGCTCTCGGCACCACATGGGGCATGGAAGCGGCGCCAGGCAGTGCAGCGCGCACGGCGAGACGACGACAGACTCATGCGTGGCACGTTGTGTATGAATTGCGGGGAGGATTTTCGCAGCCGTGCAGCCTTGCTACGACATGTAGAATACCGCTGCCCGCGTTGCCTTGAATGTTATCCGGCCTTCAGCACCCAAATGGGCGATGCAACGCTGGCGGAGGCCGATGACACGCTTGCAAAAGACACAGCCAGCCTGAAGCAGCAAGGATTCCGAGCTGGCAAGGCATTCATTCCACCGACACCTGCATATCCCTACTGGGCAACATCAGTGGTGCATAACCCTAGTGAGTTCATCAATGACAGAATCCTGATATTGCGAGAAAGTCCAGACGACGACATGCAGGATCATACGGCCAATCTACCCACCTGTATTAGTAGGAAGGCTCATTACGTACTCCCTTTTTCCGATGGCCACCGCAGAGAGAACGACCTTCAACACCACATAGAGCAGATGGCAGCAACCATGCACACTACGGTCATTGTGCTTGCGACCAATGGCCAACAGCAGCCAGCCTGCGGAGACAGCACCAAGCGCGAGGACGCGGATTTCTGGATGGCGGCGCTGGCGCAAGGGCTGATCATTGCAGCGGTTGGCGGCCCACCCTGTGGCTCCTGGGGCCCAGCGTACCAGCGAGATGGTGAATGGCGAGCAGGCGGCAGCACCCCCTACGCTCGAGAAGTCGCCCAGGGGGGGTTGCCTGCCTCGCGAGGTCCGAGAGTTATCAGGTCGACCACGGCAATGCGTTCATCAGAGACTGCGCGAAGCTGTGGTTGGCGGCTTGGCGCGCAGGCATCCCGTGCAGCTGTGCGCTGCCTGCGGCCCTGCCTGGGCGGCCGTCGCGGCCCAACGCATGGGGGGGGGGGGGCCGAGCTGCTGTGGCTCAGGAGCGTCGAGGACGCCGACTGCCTCGAGCTCGTCAAGGACGGGGGGGCGACCACGGGCTGCACGACGGCCAACATGCAGCCGAATCAGGAGGTAGGGCAAGAGTCTGACGCCCGCGATGCCTCCCCGCTCAGAATCCCATCTTCCTCCTTCGGCCCCCCCCCTTTGCCAGGGCCCTGGCCCCCAAATGGTCCAGGGACCTGATCCCAGGCTGGGGCGCATGGCTTCTTCCCGAGGCCTTCGCCGGACATTTCGCCCCCCTCGACCCATTTTCCGATGCTAGGTGGGACGCCGAGGGCTGGTGACCTGGCTGTCTGGTTTGGGTCCTGGGTCCCGTCCTTGGGGCTATGGTCCCCGCGGCCTCGGGATCCAGGTCGCCTCCATGTGCGTAGTGCCTGTGGTCGAGGGTGTGGACGCCCGCCCCTACTCCTTCCGCGGCGACGATGGCAGTGGCCAGCCAAATCACCTCGCACGTCGACGACGCCTTCTCCCTCCGCCTCGTGCGCGGCCAGGCCGAGCAGGCCCGCGGTTGCGCGGCTCAGCGGAGGGAGCGCAAGGTAGGAGGTAGAAGCGCTGTAGAGCGCGAAACGAGCAACGAGCAACGAGGAAGAGGATGAGGAAAAGGAGGAGAAGGAGGAGGAGGAGGAAATGAAAGAGGAGGAGGAGGAGGCGGAGGAGGAAAAGGAGGAAAAGGGGGAGGAGGCGGAGTATGAGTAGGAATCGTAGTAGTAGTAGTAGTAGTAGTAGTAGTAGTAGTAGTAGTAGTAGTAGTAGTAGTAGTAGTAGTAGTAGTAGTAGTAGTAGTAGTAGTAGTAGTAGTAGTAGTAGTAGTAGTAGTAGTAGTAGTAGTAGTAGTAGTAGTAGTAGTAGTAGTAGTAGTAGTAGTAGTAGAGGAGGAGGAGGAGGAGGAGGAGGGAGGAGGAGGAGAGGAGGAGGAGGAGGGAGGAGGAGAGGAGGAGGCGGAGGCGGAGGCGGAGCGGAGGCGGAGGCGGAGGCGGAGGCGGAGGCGGAGGGAGGCGGAGGCGGAGGAGGAGGAGGAGGAGGAGGAGGAGGAGGAGAGGAGGAGGAGGAGAGGAAGGAGGAGGAGGAGGAGGAGGAGGAGGAGGAGGCGGAGGCGGAGGCGGAGGCGGAGGCGGAGGCGGAGGCGGAGGAGGAGGAGGAGGAGGAGGAGGAGGAGGAGGAGGAGGAGGAGGAGGAGGAGGAGGAGGATGAGGAGGAGGAACAGGAACAGGAAGAGGAACAGGAGGAGGAACAGAGGAGGATGAAGAGGAGGCGGAGGAGGAGCAGAGGAGGAGGAGGGGAGGAGGAGAGAGAACAGAGGAACAGAGGAACAGAAGAAAGAGGAGGAGGAGGAAGAGGAGAGGAGGAAGAGAAGAGGAGGAGAGGAGGAGGAGGGAGGAGGAGGAGGAGGAGGAGAGGAGGAGGAGAGGAGGAGGAGGAGGACGAGGAGGAGGAGGAGGAGGAAGAGGAGGAGGAGGAGGAGGAGGAACAGGAGGAGGGTGAGGAGGAGGAGGAGGAGGAAGATAATGATGAGGAGGATCAGGGGGGGGAGGAGGAGCAGAGGAGGAGGAGGAGGAGGAGGAGGAGGAGAAGAGGAGGAGGAGGAGGGAGGAGGAGGGAGGAGGAGGAGGAGGAGGAGGAGGAGGAGGAGGAGCGAGCGCCGACCACGAGGCCGGGCCGATCATACCCCCGGACGCCGCTGCGCGCGGGGGAGCGCCGCAGGCGCGCCTGGCCGGGGCCCCGCCGCCGTTGTCGCCGCCGCCGCCGACGCTGCCGCCGCCCGCGAGGAGGAAGAGGACGGCCAAGACGCCCAGACCCTTCGAGTCGTGGCCTGACCCCAGACGCCCAGAGTCGAGGAGGAGAAGGACGGCCAGACCCCAGACGCCCACGGCCAAGACGCCCAGACCTTTCAGAGGCCACAACCGGAAGTGTCTCGCTATCAGCGGCCTCCGGGGGCCCTTGCCGGGCCGCGGGACCGCCAAAAAACGACTCGGGACGAAAAACCGGTCTCGGGGAAAGGGTCCCCCCTGACCTCCCAGGAGGGCCAAACATATTGTACTGGACCTAAAGCCAAGCGCAAAGCTATTCTAAGTCTTGCTTTCAGGATGTTTCGTTTCGTTTCGTGTTTTTTTTTGTTTTGTTTTGGCCTCCAGTGTTAACCCATAATTCTCTGGAAGGTCAGGGTCGAGACCCCCGGAGGTCAAAGTCAGGAGGAATCATGACGATGGGGGCCTGGGCTCCCTGCGCCTCGAGCGACATGGAGAGGCGGCCGGGTTCTGTCGCCATCTCTGGCACCCCCCCCAGGGGCCCGATTCGTGCTTCAGGGCCGTCGGAAGATAGCTCGGTCGGGAGAATGCGGCAGGGGTCCGAGAGGTCCGGGGGGCCACGCATCGAACGAATCGAAGCGCTGGATTTAAGTCGGGCGTGCCCCCCTACAGGGGGATTTTCGACGAAAAAATAAAAAACATACCCCAGAAAGTGCCCACACAAAGGTCAAACCATCTTCGACAAGTAGTCCCCAGACTATGTCTGGACTATCTCTGGACTATGTTTGGGGGTATTTTTTTTATTCGTCGTCGAGAATCCCCCTGTAGGGGGACAGGCCCGACGTGACGCTGGATGTGCGGAGGCTCTGCTGGACCTCCCCGGGGGGGCCCTCCGTCGCAGCACGGCTCGGTGCGCCATCGGAGTCCTGAGCAGCATGCGCCCCGTCGGCGGCCCCTGTGGAGCAGCAGCAGCGGCATTGTTTTTGAGTCCTCCGTCGTTGCCGTGAAGTCGGGCGTGTCCCCCTACAGGGGGATTTTCGACGAAAAATGCTCCCAAAATAGTCTGGGGACTATTTTGTTTAGTATTTTCTGACTTTGTTTGGGGTATTTTCGGTGTATTTTTTTTTTAATGTCGTCGAAGATCTCCCTGTAGGGGGACCACGCCCGACATAACGTTACCGCCGTCGCCTCCGTCGACGCCGCCCGCTCCTCAATCACCGCCATCGCCGCCGTCGTCGCGACCCCGAGCGCCAGGGGAAGACTGGCGACGCGCGGATCTGGCGGGGCGCGCATGCTCCTGGCATCTCGTTCGCCACCTCTGTCCGCTCCCTGCGCAGGTACGGCCCGGCGCCGAGGACGAAACTCAGGACAGGGCCCCCCTGCAGATCTTCAGGGCTGCTTGTTCTAGCCTTGCAGCCGAAGTCTCTCGTGAATGCGCTCGCCAGGAGCCAGGAGCGCAGACAATCAGAGCCCCGAATCATCAGGGGTAACTCGGGTCAGGGCTAACTCGGGTTCGCTTTTCGGGATTCCGAACCCGAGTTGCCCCGGGCCCGAGTTACCCTGGATAATTCGGGCGTCCAGAGCCCCAAATCATCAGGGGTAACTCGGGTCAGGGCTAACTCGGGTTCGTTTTTCGGGAATCCAAACCCGCGTTACCCCGGACCCGAGTTACCCCGGATAGTTCGGGCGCCCAAGACAATCAGGGACCGATGGCGGGTCTTGGGTCATGCAGTACACGAAGCTCGAAGTCAGGATGCTGGTCGGGCAGGGCAACGGTCCTCTCACAACACCAAGGGAGAGTAAAAAGGTCCATGAGCAGCAAGTGCGTCAGCGCGGCGAGGCAATTCGAAAAAGGCGCGGCAGGTTTGGTTTCTCACCACCCACCAAACCACCCCAACCCAACCCGAAGGCTCAAATTTACCCTCGATTTCCAGTATGGGGGGGGGTGTCGGGAAACATAAAAAAAAACACATGTGGAACCCTTACCCCCCCCAACCCGAAATTCGGGTCTTCGGGTTGGGTTGGGGTGGTCCGGTAGGTCGTCAGTTTCAGGGAACACCTATGGAAGACACTGACGCTGGCGCGATGCGTCCTCACCGGCCCCTCCAGGAGCAGTTGGCGCAGGAGTTGCCCGCAAGCTTGGAGGTCGGCTCGGGCGTTTCTGGAGCTCTCTTGGGGCCGCTTTGGAGGCCAGTGGGGCCCATGGAGAAGTCTGGGGATCCATGGTGGGGCGTTTGAAACCGCCATAAGGCCTTCCCAGATTCCATCGGCCGAGAAAGGAGTGGTCCCACTACTATCGTATCATGCAGCCCTCATTTGATGTTTTTGTTGTGCTCATCTGGCTCGTTTGGGTCACTGTTCAGGCCTTTTCGTGGCCACTTCGGCGCCATCTTGGGGCCACGTTGGCGCTTCGGAAAGCCGAAGGCGAGAGGACGAGAAAGTCAACCATCACTGAACAGCCTCGTGCTTTCTATGGCCTCAGCTTCTCGTTCTTTCGGGGGGATCCTTGTAAGGCTCCGTGGGTGGCCACTTCGGAGCCTGATTGAAGCATGCTGGAGGCTTGTACGTGGAATATATCAAAAACTGCTGCGTGCAAACCGTCTCCGCCCCGCCGCTGGGCCCATGCGTCGCTGCATGGGCGCCTCCCGGCGCCAGGAGGCGCCAGGAAAGCCAACCACATGCGCTGATTCTCTGTCCTGCCCTCTGCTGTCCTGCGTGCCCCCCTCGCCCTCCCCGATTTTTCGAGTGGGCTGGCGTCCGTGCGCGTTCCCTTCTGGGTGGCGGCCGCCACCGAGGGGGCTGCCGCCCGCCTCTCGCTGCGGGCCGAGGTCCGGCCGCTGCGGCAGGCCATTGGGTCCATGAGGGAACGCGGGTCCGTGTGCACCGAAGCTGTCGCGTAAGCTTATCGCGCGCGTCGAAGCCGATGAGTTTAAAGCGTCCTGGTTTGCCCCGTGGACCCACCAACGAAGGTTCTAGGATCCTTCGGGGTCCACGAAGGAACGCGGGTCCGTGTGCACCGAAGTTGCCGCGTAAGCTAATCGCGCACGTCGAAGCCGATGAGTTGCAAAGCGTCCCGGTTTGCCCCGTAGACCCACCAACGGAGGTTCTAGGATCCCTCGGCGTTTCGCACAAGCTGTTCTTGGAAACGCTCCTGGCTGACATTGCTCGTTTTCGTACATCGGCTTCATCTTTTCCGTAAAGGCTTCGCCCCCTGCTGCCGGCCCCTTCTCTATCATAATGGGATACATCAGAGCTGTATTGGGATGTTCGGGCGCTGTCTTGATGCTATTCGGGAGCGTCATGCTAGGGCGGCTGGCGATGAGCAGAACAGGTTGAGATGTTGAAGTTGTTGTTGAAAGTTTTGTTGCCTTCTTGGCATTTTCCTCCAGTTGTTCACTGGAAGCGCTCTGGGAACGGCTGGGGGTTACTTCAGGCAATCTCTGGGAAGGTTCTTCTTTTCTGCTCTGGAGAAGGAGCGGCGCCTTTGGGCAGCTTCCGCGAGGTGGATTCGTACCGTGGGGGGTGCGCGCGAATTTGGTGTAATTTGCAAGGGATCGTGGCCTCGGGGACGCGAATGCTGCGTAATTTACGAGGGATCGTGGTCTGGGGGGCGCGGCAGCGGTGTAGTTTACAAGGGATCGTTTCCTCGGTGGCGCGGATGTCGCGTAATTCGCGCAGGATCGTGGCCTCGGGGGCGCAAATGTGGTGTAACTTGCTAGGGATCGTGGCCTGGGGGGCTGAATGTGGAACCCACTGCCGAATTTCCAGAAACGGGTGGGGGGCAACAAAAAATGCCAGCGGAGCACATATCCCAACACAGAAAATTAATGTTTTTCTGCTGTGGAGCGGGGGAGCGCCTTTTCGGCAGCCTCCGCAAGGCGGATTCGTGGCCTCGGGGTCGTGCCCGCTGTGTAATTTACAAGGGATCGTGGCGTCAGGGGCGCGACTTTGTCGTAATTTACACGGGATCGTGGCCTCGGGGGCGCGAGTATGATGTAAATTACGTTGGGTCGTGGCTTCGGGGGCGCGAGCGTGGTGAAATTACGAAGGATCGAGGGCGCGAATGCGGAGGGGTCGTGGCCTCGGAGACGCAACTGCGGCGTAAATTACGAAGGATCGTGGCCTCAGAGACGCGAAAGCAGCGTCATTTACGCAGGATCGTGGCCTCGGGGGCGCGAATGCAGTGTAATTTGCAAGGGACTCTGGCTTCGGGGGCACGAAACTGCTGTATTTTTACGTGTCCCACGCCCCCCCCCAGAAATTCTGAGGACCCTCCCGGGGGGTGCTAACCAGGGTCCTTTTCGGCTCCCCCCCCCTTCGCGCGGACAGTAACAAATTACAGCAGGAAGCAGAGAGCAGTATTGTAACGATGGAAGCTGGAAGCTGGAACTGGTACAGGGAGCAGCAACCTTAATCCTCGCAGCCTGATGGCCCCGCAAGGGGGCCAGTGGATTAGAACAATGCTGCTGTTATGGTTCGAGCAGTCTTTGTTCTGAGAAGATTTCGTGGCCTGCCCATGGGAATGCCAGGACGGTCGGTCCCTGCTCAAGTAAGGTCGCGCGTAAGCGCCCTTGCTTCCAGCGTAGCGCACCGCACTGGCGGCCCGCGCAAGCCACCGCGCAGTGTTGTCATGTCAGCTCGCGTGAGACCCGTTTCTTTACGTCGCTCATGTGGGATAAACGGTGCCACCTTATGCACAAGCAAGCTCCACACTGTTTCTGCCCATGCCACTCAAATAGGATGCTCTGTCGCCGTTTGGCTCCAGCGCCGGCGCGTAACACGTCCCGTTGCGGCTGGCTGGCTGCCGCAGTCCATGCTGGGCGCGCAGTGCTTCGCGCGCGAGTTGTCTGTGGCCCTCTGCCGTTTCTGGGGGCGCGCGGCCGGTGGCAACCGCAGGCTTCGCTCTGCCACGGCGCCGCGGCGAGCCGGAAACAGCTGGCCAAGGAGATGCCGGGA